ACCCTATCAGGTTTTTCCAGAGGAGGAAATGGGAGCTGAGAGACGGAAGTGACTTGTCCAAGGTCACACAGCCAGTGAGCATTAGAGCTGGGATGGATCCCGGTCAGGATGTTTCTGAAGTCTGTGGCCTCTCCTGAACTAGGCTGCCTTTTACCTGTGGCTCTGAAGGTCCAGGATTCTTCCAGGCTCAAGGACCAGTGAGCAAGCATTCTCCAGTAAGATATTCCAAGAGGCATCTGGGAACCAGATCTGGGCAGCCATGAGTGGGAGAGAATTCCAGTCCCAGGAAAGGGGGCAGAATGCTTTCTCTCTCCCTGAAGGACTCTGAGGAAAGGATGAGTAAACAGAACTCCTGAAAGAGGGATAACTGGAATGCTCACACCCAACTGCCCGCACACCTGCACCCTCTGGCCAGGATCTCAGACCACCTGGGCCTCAGAGCCTAGCCCTGGAGTCTGTGCAGAGGACACGAGTCACACGGGGTCTCGTCACCCATTGCAGCAGCCACGGGAACAGCCCAGAGAGTGACAGCGCTGAGAGGAACTTGGCTTCAGGCAGTAGAGAGGCTGCCACTCCGCAGAGGCAGCCAGGCCAGCTGTCGACTCCAGAGAAGATGGGGCTGCTGGGAGACGTGACAGACGGAGTCCCGGGGAGCTCGTGAACCCCATCTGTCCACAGCGGGTGGGGGAGAGCCACCCCCCCAAGTGAGACATGGGTTACAAAACCAACCCTTCTAAAGCCACACAGGGGCCCTGATGTCCAACTCCGTTCCACAGAGGTCAGAGGCCTGAGGAGGTGTTTTGGGGTGCCCCAGGGTGCCACCCTCCTCCCTCTTCACAGAGAGCGGCTTCATCTCTGTGCCTCGCGCTCTGTGTTACCGACAGGCCTGCCGATGGCAGGGATTTCTCAATCCCCCAGTGGAACAGCACATGGGGCCGGGAGCTGCCCCAGGTCTGAGAAAGCTTTCACCCCCCAGGGTCTTCCCTGTGCCGGCCTCCTGCTTTCAGGCCTCCATCCCCATTTCACACTGAGTCAACGGGAACACCACACGTAGCCCCTTTCCCCTGTTCCACAAAATACATAAGTACATAACCAAACACGCTTGCCCAGTTATTCAGATGCCCAGTTGAATTTACTGAAGACCTTGGGGGAGTCCCACATCGCAGGCCTTACTGTCAGCAACTTAAAAAGCCCTCCTCCCTTTTCTGTCTCCCCTGGTCCTGAAATTCACATGCAAATGTAAGGGACCCAGAAAAGCCAAGACTATCTTAAAAAAGAAGAAACAAAGTGAAGGACTTAACACAGCTGATTTCAAAACTTATAGAGTGAAGGAAATGGGGAGATATGAGTCAAAGGACAAACTTCCAGTTATAAGATGAACAAGCTCTGTGCATCTAACGTACAGTATAGTTAACAATACTGTATTGTATAATTGAAAGTTGCTGAAAGATTAGATCTCAAATGTTTCCACCACACACACACTCACAAAAAGGTGATGGAGGCGTTAACTAAGCCCTATTGTGGTAATCATTTCACTATATATATATATATATACATACATACACACGCATGTATCAAATCATCACGTTGTACACCTTAAACTTACACAAAGTTATATGTTGTTTATCAATAAAGCTGGAAACAATTGTTTTACTTTTTAAGAAACTTATTACAAACCCACAGTAATCAGGACAGTTAGGTACCAGCATAATGATAGACATATAGATCAATGGAACAGAATTGAGAGTCCAAAAATAAACCCATACATCTATGGCCAATTAATTTCAACAAGGAAGCCAAGATGCGTCGATGAAGAAAAAAAAGTCATTTCCACACATGATGCTGGAATACCTGTATACCATATTAGAACCCTTACACATTGTTGCCGGGGATCTAAAATGGTACAGCCCCTGTGGAAAAGAGTTTGGCACTTCCTCAAAATGTTAAATATAGATTTATCACATTTAATATTTCTTCATAAGCAGCAATGTTCTTGGGATAAATACCTGGGGATGTGACTGGGATGAAGCAGAAATTGGAGGAAGAAGTAAAGCTGTGATGCTGGCCAGTGACAGGCCCTGGGCTGACCCTGTGGGAGCTCTGGAGCCGAAATGACCCATCAGAGTTGTCCTGCATTGGACCAAAATAACCAATCCTTATATGCCCTCATTGATCAGTCATCAGATGGGGCATCCCCTCCAGAAGGGCATGACTGTGGGCGAGGCAGCCCTCCACAGCTAAGACAGCCCCCAAAGGTGGCCTGCCGACCACCTTCCCAGCAGCCGAGGCAAAGCCTTCGTTGATGGGGGTCTGGGTGGCATGTCTCCCTGTCCACCCTGCTGGGGGTGGAGGGGTCCATTGCTGTGGAGCAGAAGCACCCAAAGCCCAGTGGAAGGGTGTGGGGTTTGGGAGGGGAGGGGGTCGGTGGCGGGGAAAGGTATAAGCAGTAAGGGAACAAAGACATGGCAATGACAGATGCCTGGAGACGTGCCCTGTGGAGGTGGTGCCGGGACACAGGGATGGGAGGCAAGCTGCTAACCGTCTCTGGGAGGCCTAAGGGGCCTCTGCTGTAAGCGGGTCAGCTGGTGCAGGGTTGGCACCTAAAAAAGGCTGGTGGGAGCTCTGCTGCGGGCTGGAGCCTCTGTGGTCACGGCACTGTGCACTCAGTGATCCCCAGTGCCGCAGTGAGGCTGCCAGGTGTGCTGGTTGGGAGTGTGGGGGGGGGGAGAGGGGAGTGGGTCCTGCCTCTTTGGATGGAGTTGGTTAATCCATTCAGGGATGCTCTGAGCTATTTCCTGAGTAAATAACTCTCGGGCAGTTATGTACCTAAAAGCAGACCAAGTACGGGAGTGAACACAGTTTCAGAGGTGCTGCAGCAGCACGTCTCCCAGGAAATGCTGGCAAAGCAAGGAGAAGCCCAGAGCACCGCAGGCGGGAAGTGAACACTTGGGCTGCAGCCCAGGTGGTGCCAGTGATTAGCTGTGTGACTTGGGGCAAGTTCCCCGACTTATTTGGCTTTAGTCCTCCCCACGGTTAAATGAGAAGGAACCTAGATAGCCTCTCAGGTGCATCCAGCGCTAATCCACAGGACTCATGAGGAGTCCTGATGAGGACCCAGCAGGAAACCAATCAGGAAGGTTCTAAGGCTTGTGCTCCCCTCCACCCAAAGGCCCCAAAGGGCAATCCAGGGCTGCCCAGGGTGCTCACCACGTCTGGGCCCTCACACGCCACTGTGCCCACTCTCTCGGGCTCTAGCTGCAAATTGGTTCACATGAGGAACACGAGCTGCCCAAATCACTCATAGGATGGCTCGAGAAAAAGCAATTAAATGCTTTCTTAATTGCAGGATGGCAAGAGGTTAATGAGTTACTATAAAAACCAGTCCCTGCCATCTGGTGGCTGTCACCAAAGCCCACATGCAGGGAGGCGATCCCAATTTGTAAGACAGGACGACGGGATCACTCCAAGTCAGGAGAAGGGGTGGAACCTCGGGTGCCAAGGCTGGGGGCCCTGAGCAGCAGAGCCCAATGCGGCCCAGCCGGCCTCCAGACGTCCCAGGGCTGCACAGAGCTTCAAAATCAAGCTGGAGGGAAATCAGACAGGGAGCCAAAATCACTCATCAGCTCCAACACTGGTTTTCTCTGGGATTCGGCTCTAGCGAGGGACGGCCGACAGCCACTTGCTCAGCGCTAGCCAGGAGGAGAGGAGAGAAAAGCGACAGCTGAGAGAGAAGCCAGCCAAGGCGGAGGGAGGGACAGACAGAGGCAGGGATGCAGACCCTGCAAAGACAAAGAGATGCAAACCAGCCTGGACAGACGGAGAGACAAAAGAGAAAGGATGAGCGCTGAGATGCCAGGAGGTGGAAAATGACAGTGACACAGACAGGCCGTGAATGTGAGAAGTAGATGAAAGGGCAGGTACTTTTCTAGAATCAGAGATAGGAAAGAACCTTTGAGGGTTTTGCTTTGTTCTGGGCAGACGTGTTCTCTCCAATATTCTGCAGCTCCCAGGAGTCAAGGAGAATGGCCCTTCTCCCTTGGAGGATGTGAAGAGGAGGCATTCAGGGGATCAGCCTCCACTCTGCCCCTGACTAAAACACACACACACGTTTATATATGTGCACGTGCGCACACACACACACACACACACACACACACACACACACATACACATACACACACACTGATACACACCATCCCAGGCACAGCCAGTTCTCACTGGTCAGGAGCCACTTCTCCCCGTGTTGAGGAGGCCACGGGTCTCAGGCTGTCTCTCCTCTTAGCTCTGGTCCCAGAGGTTCCATTTGCAGTCCCAAGCCTGGCGGAAGCAGGTCTGGTTTTCTGGTACAAAGAAGAAGGAAGCCAGAGAGTCTATGTATCCCAAAGGCTGCAAACCTGTGATTTCCATGAGGCTAAACTCACTGCTGGCCCTCTCTGCCATCTTCTAGAAGTTGGCTGAGAAATAGAGAGATCACCCCTCACCTGTTCTTCTAGGGTCAGACTATTCTTCCAGGATGAGACCTTGAGACACTCACTTCCCAGGATTTTAGAAGTTTCCCCGCCCAGAGCAGGTTCTAACTGGCCACAGTAACAATATAGCAACCTGCTTGCAGTGGGAGGGTGGGACTCTCTCACTGAGAGTGAGTGGGTGTCACCCACTCCACCATCACTGCCCTCCGCCTCTGAGGACCACGGCAGCTTGCTCCTGAAGGCCAAGGTCTCAGCTTGAAGCAAAGCCCCACGGCCCAAAGCAAAAACAAACAAATAGGGATCTGCAGCTGGAAGATTCCAGTATCTCCATTTTTCACAGTACCTTTTGTCCTTGATTTTCCCTTCTCCTCTCTCCCACTCCAGTGCCATTTGGCCGACACACAGAAGACTCTGTACCCGATGAACTAGAGACACAAGGAAGGTCTCGCTAATCCATCCATCTTACTAGAGGTTAGAGATTGCCCTAACATCTCTAGGGGAATTTAGGGAAGGCATTGTTGGTGTTCCAGGGTAAAATTAGAGTTTGAAATTCCTTGTCTACACGTGGGATCCAACCAGCACAAGAGTTGACCATCATTGTCTCTTTTATTTCCAGCAATAAACCAGAATCCTAAAGCTGTCTCTAGCTGATCCCACCTAGCCAGCTGGTGGGTCCTTTGAGGACTCATGTCACCCCCCCTAAGTCTCCCAGCAGAGGTCTGCCAGGTCTATGAATCAGGTCTCCCTGATTCTGGTCTGGGCAGCAACTTGGGTCCACCAGCTGTACAGCCGCAGTGCCACTGGGTGACACTCAGGAGCCAGCAGGGCGTCAGCAGTAGTTCTGGGGAGTGATTTTTTTTGCGGTACGCAGGCCTCTCACCGCTACGGCCTCTCCCGTTGCGGAGCACAGGCTCCGGACTCGCAGGCTCAGCGGCCATGGCTCACGGGCCCAGCCGCTCTGCGGCATGTGGGATCTTCCCGGACCAGGGCACGAACCCGTGTCCCCTGAATCGGCAGGCGGACTCTCAACCACTGCGCCACCAGGGAAGCCCTGGGGAGTGATTTTGCTTGTGGTTCTTCCTTTTGTCCCTGTGTCTTTAGAAGGTCCGAGTGTTCTTCTTCCTCGGGATTCTGTGAGCCACTCAATTGCTTTCCTGTTTCCAAAGGAAAAGAGTGGTCAGGCACACACACGAGAGAGACACAGACACAAAGACAGTGACACAGAGACAAAGAGACAGAAAGAAACAAAGGATGAAAATACTCTAATCCTTGGAACTGTCATTAAACCATAGGCACTGGTCTCTGTCCCTCTTCTGCTCCCTCTGGACTGAGCTTTCTGTCCTCAGCCACGCTCCTGGAGGCCCCATGAGTTCAGAGCCCAGTTTTGTCCCGTGGCTTCAAACCTTACCCCTCAGGCTGGAACAAATACCCAGTCCCTGCTCATTATCAAGCCACCCTCCTTCTACCCGCTGCCCACACCTCCTCTGACACAGAGAAACGTACACACACGTGTACACACCCCACACCCACCTCATACACAACTACTCTGGCTCGTGCTCCACTCTGCATTTTCCAAAAGGCATTGCTAGAAGGGGACGCATTCCATCCTCCAGCTCCTGGTCTGTTCGTGTTCAGCCCCCCTCAGGACGGCAGGGCCTCGGGCAGGGGAGCCGAGAGGGAGCAGAGGGGGTCGGCATACAGAGTCTGAGCTGTTACGTGGAGACCAATCAAATGCAGCTCACGTCTACTCCAGGATTTTAAACGATGGGAAATCAGCACTCCAAACATTAGACCCAAAGGTCTTTCTTTAACTTGCTACTCTGGAGGGGTAATTTTCATCCAGGTGTGGCATGTGCACAGCCAGGGAGCACCTGCCAAGTCATCTGACGCCTTTGAATTCCTTTTGAGCCAACACCTAACTTTCTTCTTCTGGGCAAGCTGGGGCTCCTTTGTGAAGAAGGGTAACTCAATGTCACTTTGAATGAATGAATGAATCAGAGGAAAGAGCTCCCGTTAGAGGACTGACGGTGAACATTTCAGGGAATTTTAGAAAGCTCAGCCCTGTGAGAAAACCAATCACCAGAGGATACTCTAAAACAAAATACAAGCAAATACAAGGTTGAGGGAACATTCTGTGCACACTCAGAATGTCAGGGAGCTCAGAGGAAAGGACAGATTGCTGTTGGAAGGTGACATCGAGATGTGTGTGTTTCCCCCAGGGCCGACTGCTGCGGTAACTTGCTCTGGGTAGCGGCCACTCCCTCCCTTAGCGGCCACTCCCTCCCTTACAACATCGTCCCAATCAGCCGATCACAACTGCCTGGTCCATCTTAAAGCCTGTCAGCTACCCAGCACTGGCTGCTATTGACATGACTCACTCCCTGAGATTCTCTGGGGTAGCAGTTGAGAACTTGGGCCCTGGAGGGAAAAGCCTTGCGGTTTGAATCCTGGCTTCACTGCTTGCTGGCACTCCTTGCCTTCTCTGGGCTCCAGCTTAAAATGGGAATAACAACAATAACTCTAACAGTGTTCTTGCGAGGATTAGATAAATTGATCCATATGAAGGTGTATTAGTCCGGGTTCAGCCAAAGAAATAAAACCAGTAGGAGATATACACTAAGCGGTTTGTTGCAAGGAATTGGCTTATGTGATTGTGGGGCTGGCTGGGTGAGTCTGAAATCCACTTGGAGGCCGTCAGGAAGGGCTGGCTGGAACTGAGACACCGGCTGAAGCTGCAGGCCCCAGGTGGAATTTCTTCTCCTTCAGGGAAGCCTCAGCTCTGCTCTTAAGACCTTTGAACTGATTGAATCAGGCCCACCCAGCTTGCCTAGGATCATCCCCTTTACTTAAAGTCACTGGTTTGGGACTTTAATGACATCTACCTTCACAGCAACACCTAAGTTAGCATTTGGTTGAATAACTGGAAACTCAGGCCTAGGCAAAGTGACATATAAAACAGCCCATCACAGAAGAGTGAGCACCGTGGCTGGCTCCCGGTAACCCATCACTCAAGAACATTCAGCTATTATTTTTTTTAGGATTCAAAAGCATCTACTATGAAGTGGACATAATGAGTCAAGCTTCCCCCCTCCATCTTACCTGACCCATAGCTTTCTCTTCCTCACTTCCAAATCTTCTTCCAAAGAAGGCTGAAGACACCCTAAGGAGTCAAAAGGAAGGTGACCCTCTTCTATTCATCCTCTCGGCAAACACTGCCTGGGCACGCTCTGTGCCAGCTCAGGTCTAGGAGCTGTACGAGTAGATGCAGGTACGAGTTAGTCCCTGCCCGCCTGAAGCCCTGGACGCAGCGACCCACCCTCTGTGGTTCCTCTTGTCTGGTCACGCACGTCCTGCCCGGCCTGTAGACCTCCTCTACAGCTGTCCTCCATCAGCACCTGACTAAAGGGGCAGACAGCAAGCCCAAGCTCTGAACTATGCACCCACCCAGAGGGGCACTTTTTCTACATCACTCAAAGGAGCCAAGAAGCTAGTGCATTTAACCACAGACATCAACAGAAGGGAGATGCTCCCCAGGGAGTCACATGCTGTTTAACACAGGACACCCCAGTTCCCCGTCACAGGGCACACACGTGATGCAGTGAAGAGCACGTCTCAGCCCCTCAGAGTATTTCCACTCCTATTCTGGTCTGCAGGCCCTTCTAAGCATCCACCTTGGTGGCCTCTGCCCACTATTGATCATTTCCAGTTCCCCGCACCCTACCTCCTCCAATTCCCAGAGAGGCCATGCTCTGTCCAGTGGCCACTGTGATCCCACTCCTTCATCCCAGGACGAAGCTGCCCTGCTCCATGGCATGGTGATGGTGCCCACTAACCTAGGACAAACGTGTCCCAGGGCCATGGTTCTCCTGCCAGTCTACACTTGTCCAGTTCTCATCCGCCCTTGCAGAACCCATGATGGCCCAGAGAGCTCCCCCCACCCTTTCCAGGAGCTCAACTTTCTAGTTACATGAGCTTGGCGGAGTTAATTAACCTCTCTGAGCTTGAATTCCTCCTCTAAAAAATAGATATGATCATAAAACCCATTTCAAGGAGTTGTCATGAGAAGCAAGTGAAATAACATATGTGAAGTGCCTGACACGTGGAACCCTGTTCATCTCCCGCATGCCCAGCCTCCCTGCCCAGCCCTTACTGCCCACCCTCCCTTCAAGCTTACATAATATGGATCAGGTACATGAAGCCCATACTTAACCCACCTGATGTCATGGCATCCTAGCTCCGGCTCACCAGTCTCCAGGATACCACAGCATGGGGAGAAAGAGTATGTTTGCCTTCACATCTGCTGGGGAAGGCCTCCTACCCACAAGTGGAACCTGCAATAACATGAAGGGTTTGAACTGTCAGAGTTGTGATCAAAGGGAGACTGGGGAGTTGATGACAAGGAACTCGTTTCATGAAAGAATGAGAAGCAGATGTAGCCTTTCCCCTTCCCCCCAACCTGTCCAGGACCCCAACAATATGGGCGGCAGTGCAGAGGATCCCAGCCTGTACTGAACCCCAGCACAGAGGAAGAACTCTGTCACCTGTCACACACTGTATCAATGTTAGTCCGTATATTATAATTTAATTCCTCCCAGCTCCTGGGAAATGCAGTGCCTGGGGTGGACTGGGCTGGTTCTCTCCACCTGGCCTTGGAGAAACCTGCCTCTCCTCTAGAACAGGGGCATACCGGCCAAGGAACTTCCACAGGTGGGACCCTCAGGACCCCATCTCTCCTGCTGCAAGACCGACCAGGGGATCTAATGGCGGGCAGGTTTTTAAATCTCAGCCTTATGGAGATTTGGGGCTGGGTAATTCTTGGTCTGTAGTATGTTCAGCAGCCTTCCTTGCCCACTCCTGCCTGGATTCCAGTAGCACCCACTCCCCAGTGGTAAGAACTAAAAGTGTCTCCAGACATTGCCAGATGTCCTCAGGAAGCAAAATCACCACAGACAGAACCACAGAGCCCAAGTGCCTGCTGTGCCCTGGGCACCCTTTTGAGTCAAGCAGCTGGAGGTCTTGTGACCCTGTGACTCTGGCCACCAGCAAATGGACAGGATCTCCATCCTGGACCAGCTCCTGTGACATCACTTGGTTGGGTCAGGGCTCTTCAACTGCATGGTGACTCCCCACCCCTGACCAGGCTTGCTCTGGGTTTGGGGGATTGGAGTAGGATGTCATGGAAACAGGATGCTGGGAAGAAAACAAAGAGAGAAATAAATGCAGCATGGGCCACAGAGCAGGAGGTCCCAGCTTCCTGGAACCCACTAGATGACCAGTTCACTCTCTCAGCTCTATAACTCCACCTTTTCTACGACGATGACATACTACCTTTTAAATCATTTTTAAAGCCTTTATTTAAAGTAATTTATCTACTGCTAAATAATAACTATCAAAAGCTGTATTTCCCAAACTGGGATTTTTCATTACTGGTGTGAACAGGATATGTTATTTTTCAAGGATGTATTTTTGTTACCAGACTGGGCCATTTTTATTTCATGCAAGTCAAGTGGGCATGGGTAATAAAATAAAAATAAAAACAGAAGGGAGCTAGTTTTATTTTTTTTAATCCCACCGTTTTTTCGGAAGAAAATAAATCTGCCCCTTCAATCACTCCCACCAAATTAAACTTTCCATAATTATTGTAATGCAACATACATATAAATAGTACATATTATATATATAGTCACATGTATTTTCACCAAAATGTAGTTAGTTATGCTATATTTTTCTGCAACTTGCTTTATCACTTAACACAACTTTTATCAGTGACCCCTCCTTCCTGGTTGGTGTCTCAGGAACCTCACTGCCTGGTTCAAATACCAGCTCTGACTTTTCACAGCTGTGTGATCTTGTGGAGGTTAATAACCTCTCTGTGCCTCTTCTGCAACATGTGGATGATGACAACATCATCTACTTTATGAAGACCTGAGTGAGTTAAACAAGGTCATGATGGGAAGCACTCAGAACAGTGCCTAGCAAATACTCAGAAAAATGTTACCTCCTGCTACACGGATCTACCTTCTTGTTAAGAGTTGAAGAGGATTCCACTACACAGATATACCGTGCTCTGCCGTGGAAATTTAAATTTGTACAAATGTTTGCTCTTGTAAGCCATGGTACAATGAATGCCCTTGTACTTACATCTTTACTCATTCATGCCATGGTTTGGGAGGATAAATTCCTAGAGGAGAGATCGGGGGGTTATTCAGTAAGCGCATTTTAAGTTTATATATCTATTGAGATATTACCTTCAAAAAGGTTGTGAGGATTTTCATTCCTACCAACAGTGTGTGCAAGCTCGTTTCTTCACCCTCAGCAGTTCTGAAGGCTATCAGTCTTTTTAATTGGGTAGGCAAAAATGAAAACAATGCCACAATGTTGTTTGCATACATATTTCTTTAATTATTAGTGAGATCAAACAATGTTTTTTCTTCCAGTTTTAGATATCAAATAATTAAATTTTTTTTCTTCTTTTAAACAATTTCTCATTCTAACTCCTCTTGCTATTTTAAGATGTTGGGGGTAGGAGTTTATTAATTAATTTATTTATTTTTGCTGTGTTGGGTCTTCGTTTCTGTGCGAGGGCTTTCTCTAGTTATGGCGAGCGGGGGCCGCTCTTCATCGCGGCACGCGGGCCTCTCACTATCGCGGCCTCTCTTGTTGCGGAGCACAGACTCCAGACGCGCAGGCTCAGTAGTTGTGGCTCACGGGCCTAGTTGCTCCGCGGCATGTGGAATCCTCCCAGACCAGGGCTCGACCCCGTGTCCCCTGCATTAGCAGGCAGATTCTCAACCACTGCGCCACCAGGGAAGCCCTAAAATATTTTTCTTCTTGAATGGACCATCTGTATAGTGTGTGTGTGTATGTGTGAATCGTGCATTTGTCCATTTATGTTGTTTCTGATTGATTTGGAGGAATACTTGCTATAGTATGGATATTTACAGTTTTCCTGCTAGAATGTATAGCAAATAGTTTCTCCCAGGCTGTCATTTATGTATTTATGTTTTATTTATGGTGCCTTTCACGGTACAGTTTTGTTTTGCTTTTTTAAATTTTTAGGTGGTCCAATATGCCAAATTTTTCTTTGTTGATTTCTGGATTTGGTGCCAGACTTAGAAAGGACTTCCCCACCCCAAGATATAGAGATATAAGGATCGAGACTGAGATATATGACATATGCCCTCTACCTGGACTTGTAAGACTATATATGTGAGATTATCTGTAAAACTATATTAGAAAAGGATGACAGCTCAGATTATAGGTAAAACTAAACAATCTTACATATACATAGTCCTATATTGCCTTTTAATTTGTTAGTACTGAATATTTAATGCACAAATCTTTAATCCATCTAGAATTTTTTACTGTAGTATGACGTAGGTACCTAATTTTATCCTCTTGCAAATGACTAGTGATTTGTGCTATGGTTCAAAGTGTCTTTGCCCTCCAAATGGCTCACCAGAAGGACTAAGGGTCTCTGAACCTGAGTCAGACTGGCCTGGAAGAAAAGGGGCTGGGTAAGGAGTGGTCTTCCCTCCCCTCTGCCCGTCCTCCCTCTACATATATCACCTCCCTCGGCAACAGCAGGTGTCACTGAGGCTCTTGCACTCAGAGAGCAGGGCCACGCAGGCGGGCTGCCAAGGGGGCCATGATCACTCCATCACTGAACACAGCATTAAGGGAATTATCAGAGCCTGAGCTATGGTTACCCCGGGACCCTAGTAACTTATGTGCCCAGAGAAATCATTTTCCTGGATGTTGCATTTTAGGCAGCAAGGAGGCTCCGGTGACCCTTATATCATCTGTTCCCAGGTTTCTGTGAATTTACACAGGCTGGCTCCCCACAGTAGAAAGAAATCTAATTACTGGTGGAATAACTTACAGGTAAGGGGACCTCTAGTGTGTGCCCACCCTGGCTGTAAATCCTCAGAGCTAAATTCCAAGGAAAGTGAACTGGTGCTCAGACCAGGACGCCTCGCAGGGCAGGCATCCTTCCTAACCTGGGTGTGGGCAGGAGAGCAGGTGGGCTTTCGAAGAACGGTGGGTTATCAGGGCCCAGCGAATGGAAGGAACATTAAAATGCCTGGGTTCCTCCTTCTATTAACCACCAGGATGACTTTAGCCTCAGTTTCACTGTCCAAAAAACATGTGTTAACATGTATTAAGCCACATCCAAGGGACCATGCTATGAGTTTTAAATACAAGCTTCCAGTTTTCACAACAAGGCTGAAAAGTGAGAATGAGTATTCCCATCTTACACATGTTGAAACAAGATCAGAGAGGTTCAGGAAATTTGCCCTTCTGGAGTTACCTCTCCAGAAGGTGGCAGGGCTAAAACTGAAACCCCTGGCCAGGCCCGCAGCTTGAGTGCCTTCCCAGCATCCATGTTCCCAGCTCAGTAGACACCGGAGGGTGTGCATAGAGAAAGCTTTTCCAGGCCTCCCACAGAGGCCATCTGGGGAGGTTCCTGGGGCTCTTCCCTCCCTTGGCTTTGGTGTGACCTTGGTCCTGGAGACACACACACACTGAGTCAGCTGTGGCCTGGTCCACACAGCTTCTGGGCACTCGCTGCCCACCAGAACCCAGGTCCTTCTAGGGCTGTGTGTAAAGAAAGGAGGAAGCAGGCCTGCCCGAACCTGAGGGCTACACGTCACGTGTGTACATGGGCAAAAGTTAAATCACAAGCCGAATGTTACATCGGATATGATGCCCTATGCTCTCTCTACCTCAACAAAAATATCCTCATCATAACAAGACATAAAAAGTTAATGAAGTTGTGGCTTCTATATGACTGAAAGTGTTCCATCGAAGACAAATGAACTTAATTATCACTGTGTGCATCTGGCTGTTCCATTAATGGGCTGGTGATATTTGGATAAGTATTAAAATAAGGAGAGCCATAGCTCATGTATTATTTTATATTTATTTCTTTTATTTTTTGCCTTCACTTCAGCAAAATCTCCAAGTATGTTCATTTTCACAAAACGTTATTCCATTGACAATAATCATCTAATAATTACAAAATAAAATGTATGTACAAAGGGAATAACTGTGAATGTACTTTCATTTTTAAAATACCTTAAAATATATGTAAAAATTGGAAAAATTATAATTCAATATGAGTTTAGTAAAAGTTATTTCTCTTCTAAAATATTTTAAATTGCTACCAAAGTTAAAAGGCAAAATATAAATCACAATTAATGAATACAAACTATTTTAACCAAAGGTACTCAAAGAAAGCTGAAACTTTTTAATTTCTTGAAAATTCAGATATTAAATATTTTTATAAAAATAGAACAATTTGCAATTCTATGATTCAGGGTCCAGCTAGTTATCAGTGTAATGACCTAATGTCACGCTTCACACATACTGCGTCTGGAGCTGCATATATATACAAGTTTAAGAGTCATATATGAATTGCTTACTGCAGTAAAATACGCTTCAGTATCCATGCACAAGTGTTGTGAACGCTGTGTTAATTCTTATCTCCAGAGCCAGGAATTGGAACATGAAAAGAAACAAGAAAATGAATGTCTGGCATGGCATGCCGAGAAACAATAATTTTCTATACAAGAATCTACTGCATTCAAGCTGAGAGGAAGGATGCGACAAGTTAATTAATTGGCCTTTCTCTTACCCAAGCACTTCTCCTGTTCAGATTCTCCGGCTCTCTGAGGTGGTGCCTGCCTCTGACACTGTTGGAAGTGTATGGCACACCACCTTCATGGGATTTGATGCGTTTTCCAGGACATAAGGCAAGAGATGTGCAGAAGGGTTTCCCATGGGCCTGAATGGTGATAGTTATAAGGGCTGGTCTTTTAGGGTTACAGATTGCTGGGCCAGCCCTGAGCTCCAGATCCCAAGTATCAGAGGTGTGTGTGTATGTGTGTGTGTGTGAGAGAGAGACAGAGAGAGAGAGAGAGAAAGAAAGAGAGATTCAGTGCCCTCCAAAGTAGAAAGCCCAGAGCCAAGGCCCCCCTATTCGGGTTTCAGGGTGGTGCAGGAAAAAAAAAAAAAGGTTTGGAGGAGTCTCAGGATCCCAAAGACCGATCCCAGGAAGACTCACAGGACTCAACACATAGTCATATTCATGGCTATGATTTATACCTGCAAAAAGATACAATGAAAAATCATCAAAGACAAAGGGGCATGGGGCAACATCCAGATGCAAAGCAGGCCCAGCTTCCAAG